TATATATATATATATATATATATATATATATATATCATCTTAAAAATATGAAAATAAATAAATGCACATTTACTAATACATTATTCTGACACAGAGATATGGAGAGTTGTCCGGGGTAAGAAAGGAAAGAGGTGATGAGTGAAAGGAGGAAAAAGGAACGAAATGTGTGGTTTGTTGTCTTCGATTTTTTTTCTGCTTTCATTCATTTCCTTTTCTGCCCAATCGGTTTCTTTCTTTTGCTTAGATACCGCAAATAGACAGAGGATGATTGTTTTGTTGGGTACATAGTTAGGCAAAAAAAAAAGTGCTTTTACAATCAAAAACATAGAATGAATAAGAAAATTTCTGATTCTTTTTATTGCCAAAAACAGTAAGCAGGGCATCAAAAAAATCTGTTAATAACACTCTCGTAAAGTCAAAACTGATTATTTTTTTTTGCCATATTTCTTCTATAGATAGCTATTCTGTTCTGTATTTGGTAAATGCCACACTGTATGAAAAGTGTACTGAGATTTGACTGTATTAACTACTTAATTTAATCAATCCATCAATGACCATTACAATATTTAACAAATTTTTATCTTATATTATAAAATATTTGAATATTTTGAAAAAAAAAAAAAAAAAAAAAAAAAAAAAAAAAAAAGAGAGAAAGAAATACGACAGAAAAATGTTCAATGTTTTTTTTATTCTGTTTTTTTTTTATCATTTAAACAATGCTTAAGTTTTTTATTTTTGTAATTTTCTTGATTCAGCTTTTTTTTCTCGTCTTTTTTTTTATTTGTTAATGATGATGGCACTGATTTATTGGCATCAATGAAGAAAAAAAGATGCCCTTATAAGCGGCAAACTGCAAATTCCTTTAGTGTCGGCTTCTTTCCATATCGCCAGTTTCATGGGACACCAAAAACTGTTAATGTTGATCGCTGAACAAGCTTCAACAAAACAGCACATACCAAATAAAACTGCAGAAAACCTGCCGTAGAAGACAGTAGAAACGAAATAAACAAACAAAAAACTGCTTCTTGTACACTTTTAAGTAATGCTTTACGGTTGATTAACGTAATGGCAGTATCAGTGAAAAAAAATTTATATTTTATTCACAATTACTACTATACCATTCACAGCCTTTTTGATCATTTCAAATTTTAAATATTTTAAAAACTA